AAATACAACAGAAAGTTTGCCCTAAGTTGGATTTTGCGTTGATAAAAGATGAGACAAAGGATTTGATATTTCTATAAATTTAATCAGTATGCACTGAAAATTTTCTCCTATATCTTATATCGATACTGAGAAACATATTTAATATGCGTCAATGTTATCGTTGTTATTCTTTGTTTGATGTGTTTTTATTACATTGGTATACTAACAATACAGTCGCTTTCTATTGTTGTATGAAAATTTGATCATAATGAAAAAAAGTTGATGTAATCAAGTCATCCATCAACAACGATTAGGATTAAGCAACTTTTCTTTCACTTGATTATAATTAAGTAATTGTTATTTTATCCACTGACGTCTACAGAAATGTTTTGCTATCTCTGTTTTTATTAAAAGAATAAGCGGGATGACAATATGTTTCTGTACATGTGTTTTAGTGTAAACCCACGGTTTTGCTCATTTTTAATTAATTAATCTTAATCCAACATTATGAAAGCCGTCTCTACACGCAGTTACACTCTATATCGAAAATTATCTAAAATATTTATTTCGTGATATAGGGTTATCTTAGGTTGATAGATATTTTAAATTGGTACTAAAATATATACAATAATATTATTTTAACACAAGACAATCTGTCTCACAATTTCGTAAGATAAATAAAAAACTACTTTGATTCATTTCTTTAATATATATTTTGTAATTGTACAAAACATACAAAGTTCACCATATCAGTTAATTTGTACATTCAGATGACAGTCAATGTGAGGCGACCTTCGACGGCTGGACATGTTGGCATCCGACGCCCTCGGATACTATTGTCAACGAAGTGTGTTCAGAATTCGCCTACTCCAATGTTGGACCCTCATGCCATCGTAAGTAATGTGTATCTATCGGACGAAATGATACATTAAAGCGCCTTTACACGTGTACATTTTGAGTAAACAGTAGAATTGTACGGAAAAAAACGACGCCTGAAGCTTATAAACACGTTCCATGTCTTGACAAAGAATTGCTATATCTGATCCTCTTGAAGTTTCTGTTATGTTTCCGCGTTTTAATGTCACCCTTTAGATTTCAGCAACAAGCAATGCTTCTCTAACGGCAGCTGGGAGCTGCAGACGGACTACACTACATGCAGCATCACGCCGCGGCTGCTGCTCCGCTATCGCATGAACATCGCCGTGCTTGCCTTTTCCATCGCCTCCTGCCTGCCCGCTGTCTTCATATTCTTCTTCTACAAGCGACTCAGGATCACACGAGTCGCACTCCACAGAAATTTGCTCATCGCTATCATTATAAGAAACGCTCTCGTCATTATTAGCAGAAGTGAGGTAAGTTTGGGTCTATGAAATTAAAATTCAATAGAATGTGTATTCGTCTATAAAAGAAATATTTACATATCAGAAGTGATTATGGTGATACGTGAGTTTCATAGGCGATGGTCAAGTGGAGACGATAGAACGATACTAAATTGTTCATCATATTTCTAATTCAGTACCGAGGAACTTGTTAGAAGTTTCCGATGAAAAATTACTAGTGAGGTCTTTTTCCAGGTGTACATTGCGGAGCTTACCAGTTCTGGTGAGACAGTGCTGTCGCAGCACGGCGCGTGGTGCCGCGTGCTAGCGGTATGCGAACGCGTCGCGGCCAACGCGGTCTTCGTATGCATGCTGGTGGAGGGCGTCTATTTACACCGTCTCATCGTTGCCGTATTTCGAAGCAACATTAAAATAAAGTGGCTCTACGGAGCTGGTGCAGGTACACTTAAAGATAGTGGTCTTCTCCTCCCTTCCTTTTCTTATTTTAATATTTCATTATGAACATCGCCCTTATTGCGCACTAAGTGGAGTCAGAGGTTACTTTTAGTTTTATTTACATATCGTTTGTTACAGTGATTGCGTTAGTCCCTGCGCTGGCGTGGGCTGTGGTGATGAGCCAGCTCAACGATCATTCTTGCTGGATCGTGTACACGGTAGCACATGTACAGTGGATCCTGGACGCGCCGCGGGTCGCCATACTTCTTATCAACACAATGCTCTTCATTGATATACTGAGGGTGTTGCTCACGAAGCTCCGGAACTCGGAGAACGCTAATCAGCTGTGAGTGATACTAAACATTTTATAAATAATGCATATGTTATTAAAGTAAACCTGTAAGACAACCAATAGCAATTAACATATACAATATATACGGAGACATTGCATGACCTTTGTAAAACAGAAAGAAACGTAGATAAAAACAGCTTCTTTATTCCTGAGAGTCGCAACCCTGTCGATGGCCATATCTCGAAGGGTATTTCTCAACTGTATGCGATCTTCCGTTAATGCTATACCGTAATTTATATTGCTGGTACAATTTTAATGTATTTCTTCCAGAAGTACAGCGAAGGCGACATTATTCCTGATGCCTCTGTTCGGGACGCAGTTTCTGCTGACGGCGTTCAGGCCAAGCACTACCGACTGCACCTGGGAGCAGCTGTACTACTATTTCTCCTACACACTGGAAGCCTTGCAAGGGTTCATTGTCGCCTTGCTCTATTGTTATGTCAATAAAGAGGTAACGCGAATTTCTAATATTTATAATAGATGTTAAGATTGATGCGGCATAATAGTGTTAAACACGTTTTAGTACTTACTTTGTAACTAAAATGAGATAGAAATTATATATGCAGATTAAATATTTAGTCACATTACCATTAAAAAAACCGCTACCAGAACATCTGTTAATAGCCTTACTTAATTTAAGTAGTTACACAATTCAAACCTTAACCTACTTAAAAATTAATAGATTATACCGGTAAACCTTTATTATACTAATGTTGTTAGGAAATTTAGTATGGTTTTATAATTAGACACTTTTAAACGACAAACATACTATAAATCCGTATATTTAAACCATCCCAGAAGGGCTACTTAAAAACGATAGGTAAAAATGTTTAAAACAATATCACAAACGAATAACTTTATTGTGATTTTAATTATTTTATTTCTATTAAAGGTACATGCACTAGTTAAAGCTACATACAAGAAAACGGAGAACGCAGTTAATTCACGAGTTCGAGGCACAAATTCTCGAGGCAGTCTCGAAGCGAATTCCACCAGGCGATTCACTTACAGCACTAACCTGCCATCGCACAACGTTGACGATGTTAAAGACCACTACACCAGTATGAAGCCGAAACTACACGTAGCAGAAATAATGTCTATACCAGCTACAGAAAGACTTGCAGAAATATTAGACCCTATCTACGAGACCGTAGAAAATGGTCTAACGAATGAAGGATATGATTATCTCAAGAGAACTGAACACGATGACGATTCAGGCATAATCCCAAACAGAGCATCTAATGCTGACGACGATGACGGTATTAATAAACATTCTAGTGTTTCATTAGATTACCCACAATGGATAAAAAGAAAAAATGCACCTACCGAATGTTTTGATGAGGAAACATTATCTAACACAGATAACATTATAGATAATACAGAAACTGATCCAAATTACGAAATTATTTCCATACCATTAGGAAAAAATATTGAAGATGTTAAAAAAACGGATAATCCTAAAGATGGTAGCAGCGGAATGGAATCGGAATATGAGGATTGCGAGAATATGCTCGACGAAATAATGCAATATATTGATTCAAGTGACAAAGCAGACGTAGTTTTGGATCCGAACATTCTTTCTCCGAACAGGAAAACTGGAGATAAAATACTTTTTGTCAATGAATAGAAGAAATAAAAATTACAGCATTTTGAACTTTATTAAATTCGTATTTCTATTTTGTGCATTCACAATAGTGTATTTTTAAATCAATTTTATTTACATCTCACAATTTGTTGAAGTGAGTTAAATATAGATAAATAACAAGCTCTCGCTAACACTTCACCTGCACGAGGGCGCTCTAACGAAGACGAGGTAGAGAGGGTCGATGTAATTCAATTTATTTTAAAATAAAATATGGGTTAGTCTGAAACTTACTCGTACTAAAGCTAAGACTTCAAATGTGATTATTACAACTCGTTATACGGTTATATAAAACAATACATAGAGGTATTTATCTTGGTTTAAAAAGATCAATTAGTATAGATTTTTTTTTTATTAAACTTATGAATGTTGAGGGGTACACCGGTAGAGGTAGACCTAGAAAGAGATGGATGGATTGCGTGAAGGTGACACGATCAAGAAGGGAGTGATGACTGAGATGACGGATGATAGAGTGCTTTGGAAGACGAAAACCCGGTGCACCGACCCTACGGGAGTAGGATAATGCAGGGGAGATGATGATTTTTTTTATTGAAGTTACGTTGCTCTTTGTATTCAAAAAGACTCGGGTTCGATTTTCTACATTGACTTCAATGAAATCGTTAGTAGCATATCTGTATACCACAAACAAAACTGCCACTTTAAGTTTGGGCATATAACATAGTTATCGTGATAACATGTTACAAAATACCATTGCACTCGTTAACACACGAGTTGCATTAGTGAAAAAAAATATTTGTCCGTCAAGTCGTCTAAATTCTAGATCCTTTCGAATGCTTACAAAAGTGAGTGTAACCGTCGGCGCGTGCGCAGTCGGGTTACGGATTTTTAACTGACGCACCAAAATTCGGTAGCACATCGCGATGATAACGTACGGTTTAGTGCTATTGTTTCTATTGGGTGTGGAGAGTTTTCCTGATGGAGCGCCTATAGACGCTTGTGTTAAGGATCGCGCGAACCAACCCAACCACGGACAGCATAGGACTCAACCCATGTCGACACTGCCTTACAGAGTTGTCGCTTCTTCAGCGCACTACACACCGAATTCAAGAATTACAGGTTGGTTACATTAAATCTAAGAGACGACATTATTAAAACTAGTCTTGGGCTTAATCGGACATCCGCAAGTAGTACCTTTAGTACTTCAGATTTGTGAAAACACAATACATGAATAGAATATAACGAGGGTTATATATTACTTCACATCAAATTTTAAGCA